GGTATAATAGTATGGGTTAGAAAGGTGAGGGGTTGATCCATATCCCTATATGGATGCTTCCAGTAATAATGCCATTATAGCACCAAACCTGTGTGACTTTAATTTAGCTGCGTTCATTCAGAGGTTGCATGCTTTGTGCAGTGAAAGCTTTTTCAGTGTAACTATGCTTACCAATGGAAGTGCTGTTAATGTGATCTCTTCTATTTCAGAGCACTCCTTGTGCAAATCTGTTTCACAGAACAAGACTAAGCCATAGTTGTAGAGCTCTCTGAAAATTCAGCCCAATCCCAAGTGGAGTTTGTACACTTCTGCTGTTTTATTTGACCTACTGCCTTTTTTCCAAGTGGGTGTGCTTTGCCTTGAAAATAACTGAAGAGAAGCGCTGTTTATTCTAATTGGTTAAGCAGAATAAATTTTTGGTAAAGGTTATTCTCTTAAATAAAGATTTTATGCAACTGGCTTTAATGCCTGTAATTACATCAAACACTAGAGTTACACCAAACTCTTTTTGAATTCTGCGCAACCATGTATTCCAGGAAAAAGTCTCTGAAGTTGCAATTCATGCTGCACTTGGTACTTTGTTCACCATTTATGAAATATTCACAGCTAACCTCATGGCTGTCAGCTAACGAGCTTTAGCATGTTTTACTGACACGTGGTGAAATCTCTTGCGGTGGTTTCTCCTCAATGTCCTAGCTCCTTGCTGCAAGAGCAAGATGATGAGATTCCATGCTCAGAAAGAAGCTCCCTGGCAGTCTGCACAGCTGCATAATCACATCACGTCTGAGAGCGTGTGTTGTGCAGGATGGTGCGTGTGAAGAGGTGTGGGGTTGAGGCTACCTTGGGTCCTCCATCAGGCAGCTTGCCAGTGAAACCAGGAAACACTGACAGTGAATTATAAATATTTTGCATTTGCTGTTTTGCTCAACCTAGCTCCTTGAATATCTGGTATGCAGCCATCAACTTCAGCTCCCCTGAAATCTCTTCCTAACAGCTGCACACACTCCCTCTGCTCAGATGAGAGAAGATGGGGATGCGAAGACTCAGGAGTTGGCCTGATGAAAGAATATTAATAAAAATGTTGATTGCCCACATTGAGAACAAAGTAATCGTGTTTACAGTGCCTCGTGTTCCATGCTACCAGCAAAATGCACTTTAACTTGAAAAATACAAAAAAAGGACCAAAAGCTAAAATGAATAATTGATAATGAGTCAGGGCCAATCTTATGTTTCTTTAAGGCCTCTTCTGAGGCATTTTTGCTGGTTTAGCATATTGCAATTACAAGCCATTTTGCCTGATGTTCTGCCGGTGGCTTCAGCCTGCAGTCAGGGTGTTTAAACAGAGCAGACACATTCCCTTCCCTGCCTTTCTGAACGAGGAAGTATCTCAGCTTAACTCTCTGCTGAAGCTGGTTCAAACCACCTCACACTGCAACAGGTAGGGAAGCATTCAAGCAGTCTGTTGCCCTGCCTGGACTTCAGATAGCAATTCCTGGAGGGAGAGAGGCATTAGAAGAGCTAGTGCTAGGACACCTGCAGCTGGATGGTATCTGAGCAGAGCTCCTCACACCACTGAAGTGCTTTGGATGAAAATTAACCCCCTAAATTAGACTACTGCTTGGTCTGGCTTAACCCCCATGTAAGCTACCTGGGCTGGGGTATCAGTAGATTTCATCATGCCTTCTACTGAGGCAGACAGATCAGAAAACGTATCTTGCCTTTGATTTTTCTGGCAATTAGGTCAGAGAGAAAACCAAGACTGAGAGACATTTGCCTTTACTTGCCTCAACCTCAGTTTGTGACATTGTGACTGATAAAACTTCTGGGCCAGGACAGGTTTTGTTTCAGCACAGCATGTCACTAACACAGACCTCCATCTTCATGACACCGACCTTCATGACATGAAGAAATTTGCTCCCCTTATAGAGTTAACAAGTGTCTCCTATGTACATTAGCAAGGTTTACAAGGAAACAAGCAATGCAACCATGCTCCAGAAAAGAAGTGGCAGTACTAAGTTACACAATTTAGAAGGACACAGGAAGATATGTACTATTGAGAAGGCTGATTCTTCAGCCCCCAAGTTATCTGTGCACAGACAGTGCCCCTTCTGTGCATCGACCAAGGGACACAGTTGGGCTCAAAACAAATCCTAGAAAAGTCTCATGAAGCAAGGGGCTTGTAAGCAGTAAGAATCATGGGAATTGCAGTGCATACCTCTCTTCTGCATGTGCTTTCCATAACAGAGCATCAGCTGTTACTGCACATGGCTTGATTTTAGCATGCTGATTTAATATTTACAGAGTGCCAATAAAATTTATATGATGACAGCTGGTGGCTCCTGTGGTAATTTATAAACACCAACAACACAACACAGACATCAGAAACTCCAAGAGGAATTCTACGCTATTGTGCAATATTCAGCGCTGAAGAATGTGGGTATTTTTCTAATTTTGCTTTTAATAATATTTGTGTAATACATCGATACTGGACTTGATGTGAAGCCCATCTCACGCAAAGTTAGTATTTCCCCTAGGTGTTTCTTCCTTCAGAATGGAGTTCACCACAAAGACTAATTATCTATCTATCTGGATTTGATACCCTGGCAAAAGTGTCAGGTAATTTCTACAGTCGGAACCTTTGCAAGTTCAGTTGGGAAGTCCAGCACATGACAGCCTGCTTTTCTTCTGGCACTGTGCTTTCCCAAAAGAAATATTAACAAATGGGAACTGCTGTGCTGATGGCTGAGCCAGAATAGACTACTGCCCTTGTTCCACAACTCGTGTTTTCTCTGCACATCCATGAGGAAAAAAAGAGTAAAATACAAGCTGCCTGATAAGACTACAAGTCTAATGACTGGCCATTAGCAGCGTACTGCTATAGAAATGCAAATTCCTGGCAGGTAACTAGAAGATCACGTTATTGACTGATTCTTTTTCACTCTACAAGAAACCTTCATTGATCATACCATTCCTCCTTGTTTATCTTTCCATTTTATTTCCCAAGACCTTGGTTTCCTTTCCAATCCTTTTTTTTTGTTTTTAATGTGTTTTTGTGTTTGTTTTTCCTGCATTTATTCTTCAAATCAGTGAAAAATTTCCAGACCTCATTATATCTTTCACATATAGGCATAAATTCCTATGTGAAACTTGTCATGGAATAGAGGCAGAGACTGTTTTTTATCACAACAACCTTTCCAGTGATTCCTTTTCCTATGTTTTTTAACAGTCCAATTAGTATGTCTATTATTTTCAGTTATGCCTGTTCCTAGGGACATATGTAGGTTGTTCTTGAGGAAGTGCTATCTTCTGGTTTACCTGGAACATGCTTCATTTTATTTCCAGACAACCTCCAGTTCCTGCTAATATGTATTTTCAGGTCAGAGGAACTTTAGCTTGCAATGTTAACAATTGCCCAGTATAGCAGAAGACTGTGGACTCTGAAAAATAAAACAGGACAAGGTCCAAAAGTCTCAACAAAAGCTTGAAATCCACCTAAACACTAAATTGACTTTTTGGGTACTTTCTTTCCAGAAAAATCACATTATAATTTTTAGGAAGAATGTTATCAGCAATAAAGAAGAGTTTTCTGTATCAGTGGTGATCACCATATTACTCTTCACCCATTTCATCCATCATTGTGTAGGAAAAATGCTCCAGGGCAAGAGCCCATCAATTTACAGTGGGAACCATGCCACTCAAGCAGATGGGGATGCCTTTAGGTAGCCAAAAGATTGTGTATGTGCATCAGCAATGGGTGCTGAAAGCACGATTCCCAGCTGGCAACACTGAAAATGCTGTCCGTTACAAGCTCTCTGTGGTTCGCAGCCACTGCTAATCCCTCACGGGTCCCTTAAAAACAAAGACTGGCTTCCATGGCCCTGTAAGGGCGCTCTGTGAGCAAGGCACACAGCAGGGGACCCAAGTGCCATGAAAATTTCGCAACTGGCCTGTGCTGACTGAGACTGGGATGCAAAGTACAGAATTACAAGAGCAATTCTTTATTCATGGCAATGAGGTGTCCCATTCAAATTGGGGCACACCAAATGAGGTTTTACACATGGTTCTTATGCCTTCCAAACGTTCAGATTCAACAAGATTTGACCACTCGCTACTTGACACACACCACTATTTTGAAAACTAACTATAGTTCTATGGCACCATCATCCACCTGCTTCTTTCTTGATCTAGGTGTCTCTGGAGTTGGTCCTGCTACCGCTACCCAGCTATGATGCCAGATAATGGGAAGGTTTCACTGAGGCATTGGCAGGGGCTGGGATGCTGGTGCTATCTTGGTAGTCCAGGGGTATCCTTTCTTCTTCATGGATGGCTTTAAGATTCAAAGAAACAAAAGATCTTCAAGGTGGGGACCATCCTTCTCCTTGCAGTGTTCTGGAATCCTTCAGTTATGCTGATTTAACCACAATTATGCAGTATACAAGGTAAAATAAGTATCTCTTAAGAAAGCTGACGTGATTTCTTACTATTAATAAAGTTTGTACAATTTCACACTAAATTGGGGTAAAGGCTAACTGGTACAATTAAGAAATGAGTCTCCTAACAGGAGCTTGGAGACTGAGACAGAAGCCTTGCCTGCAGCACTTACATTTCGTCAGGGATTGCAAAGAGACACTCGAGAGATGAAGAAGGCCTCATCCCGACTAACGTCTGCTCTCTCGGGAGCGGGCCTGCACCGGTGGGCTCCAACACCGGAGACGCAGCTGCACGCTCGGAGGCGGATCGGGCAAACACGCTTCCGAGAGCCTCCCGCTACGCGGGGGAAAGCGTCCCTTCGCTGCGGCTCCTCCCGCCAGCGCAGGGAAGGGGCAAAAAAAACCTCACACCCACGCCGTGCGGGGGATTTTACCGGTACGAGGCAGGACAGAACCTCCCCGCCGCCACCCGCCATCACAGGCCCCGCCCCTCCCCCGCCCCCGTCCCTCCCTCCCAGCCCGCGCCCCTCCCCGCCCCGCCGCCAGGGGTCCCTCTGCGCGCTTGCGCGGCTCGGAGGGCGGAAGCGGAAGGTGCCGCCGCGGCGGCAGGGGGTGGGGGCGCGGGCGGCCCCCGCGGTTGCTATGGAGAGCGGGGGAGCAGGGGGCGCGTGACCGCGGCCCCTCCCTTCCCCTCCTGGCCTCGCCCAACGGTTGGTTCCGCCTCGTGCCCCGGGGAGGGGGGCGGCGGGGGGACGGGCGGGGCGGCCGAGCCGTGGGGGGAGGAAAGGAAGGGGGAAGGAAGGAAGGAAGGGGGAAGGAAGGTGGAAGGGGCGAGGCTGCGGGAGGGGCCGCTCCACCGCCCGTCGTGCCGAGGGCAGCCTCCTTGGCCGCGGCCGTGAGGCAGTCCCGTGCCCGAGCGCAGCCTTCGAGTCGGGGGCCCGGCGGCGGGGCCGGTGCTGCCCTTGCCGCGGCGGTGGGCGGGGGAGGGCCGGGTGCCCCGCGGGGCGCGTGTGGGCCCGGTGCGGGGAAGGCTGCCTGGTGGCGGGCTTTGGGGCGCGCCGGGGGCCGCCCTGCCGCCAGTCTTGGGCGTCACCGGTGCCTGAACTGAGTCTGCTTTAACAGTCTTGGATGTCTACTTGTTCTTAATAACTTCGGGAGTGCGATTTTCCGTGTAGAGAGCTGTGGGAGGGAAATCCTTAGCAGATTTCAAGAGCATCTCCAGATCTTTGAAATAAAGCAATACTGTTGTCCTTTTCACGAAGCTCTAGAATCCTGCTTTTTTTTGCTAAATGATGAGGGCATTTGCAGCTTCTGGGGTGGTAATAGAAGAAGTGCTTGGGTTTTGTTGGCCATGTGATCCAGTAACACTGCACGAGGAAATACAGCGCCCTCTGACCTTCCTTAGTTTCATGCTTTGATTTTCCAGCTCCAGTAGTTAGAAAAAATGAAATTTAGGTCTTCATTCCTTTCTCACTTAGGATCCAAATGGTGATGTTCTTAAGTAACATGTATTATTTGCCTGCAAGTGGCTGTTTGGTCAGCAGTTGGTGAAGATAATTTTCAAGGCTTTATGATCAGTGTGGATATAGTGTGTATACATTAATATCAATCCACATCCCAGTCCAAGCCTGTGTGACATCTTTCAAGAATGCAATAGATGTTTACAGGTATACCTTGCAAGATCCCATCTATAAAAAAGGACTGGGTGGGAATGTTTTGCTTACCTTAGCCAACCTGTCAACAGCTACCTAACAACTGTGTAGTGCCCAGGTCTCTACTAACAACCATCTGTTGTATAAATGTGCAGTGCCAGGTACATGGGATTTTGTCATGGCAAAAATACGCTTCTGCTTGCATTAACTGGTTATTCAGATACTAGTTTTGTTAAATGGAAGAGTTGCTGAAGGCATAATGGTAATTCTGCTCTGATACTTGATAACATCATGTAAGTGACATGTAAAATGTAGTTGAAAGTAATTCAGTTGTTTGGTTCAAGGTTGTTTTTTTTTTAATGGTGGAGTGTATTTTTAGATCAGTAATTTTTAGCAGTCATTCTTAAGATTTCAGGAAAGTTACAAATCTAAAACCACATCTGGATTCACAAATTGATGGAAGCTGCTGGTTGTTACGGCTTTGCTTTGGCTATCACAATGGTTATAGCAAGTATATCTCTCCTGTTTCTGTTCTCTGTTCCTTTTTCTGTCTGAATCGCCCAGGATGCAGCCTTTTTAGAAGTGGTATCTTTCTCACTCCAGAAGTGTATTTTAAAGAATATAGTATTGTTCAGTTTGTATAGGGTCTTAAAATTACGTTTCATAGTGAATGATACTATGAATTACTGATCTGTGTCATTCTGGACTTGTTAAAGCATTTGTGAAAAAGGTTCTGGAAGTCTGATTTCACAAGTTTTCTTAGTGAAGTAGAAGTCCAGGGCTAATGTGAAGCAGAATGTATAGGGTCTTGGTTTCCAGTTTTTTTCAGTGCAACAGCCATAAAAGTGCAGGGAGCAGGATGTCACCAGAGCTGATTGTCATACTGCTTAGGATGAGAAATTGAGTATTGCTTGTATTGGATTTATTTATGAAACAGAATTTTCTGCGTATGTTTTGGGACTTGTCTTGATGTAAAATTGAAGTTTACATTCAAATGAGCTTATTAAAACACTGTTTTATGTTAACATTTCTGGTTAGTGTAAAGCTTTCTAATTTCTCAGGGGTGACTTTCTGCCTGCCTGCCTCATTCTGTGGTCTTATTATTCAGTGGATGTCATATCAGAAGTCATATTGGAGGTGATTGTAGTAAACAAATGCTGACCTAATGATGCCATTAACTGAATTGGGCAGAAAGAAAATTGTTAGGCAAAAATGCTGTCCAGGCATCCCATAGTAAAATTATTTTTTGCCAAGAACAGTTTTTGATGATGTAGGAAAGACTCAGTTATGTTTTGGTAAATCTGAAGCTTTTCAAAGCCAGAGCTACTGTTTGCTTTCAAATGCTTTGCATTTGAGATGTTTATTTAGAAAAAAAAAAGTCTGTAAATTAGGGTAAGAGGGAAGAAAACTACAAACCCTGTATTTTATCCTAAATCATTGGAGAATTTTTAGGCATTGCACATATAAATAGTGAGTATGTATGGATATAAATCACTTAATTGTTTCTTTTCAGCTGGTTTGTTGTAAACCTGCTCATAGACTTTTTTCCTCTACCTATTGTAGTTATCACAGATGATATATCCTAAACAACAGAATTGTTTGAGATCAGTCTTCCTTTTTTCTAACACTGTATCTGAAAGAGTACATGCAGATTTTTTTAACCTATATTTAAAAAGAAAAGATCATAAGTTTACCCTGCCTGTGAGTTAAGTTGGCACCTGGTACTTTCTACCAAATCATCAGAATGTGCATGTGTTAGGTTTTCTTTATTCACCCCTGCCCCTTACATATTTATATATGGTACATAAACCAAGAGGGAGGAGAAAAAGCTCACTTTGCTGGAGGAAGTCAGTATATTGACAGTGTTTATCCAGTACTGCTGACAAAAGTATAATGAAAAATGTAAAACTTAATTTATCATTATAATAAGCATGCATTATAATGGCATATCACAACTTAAAGTAATGGAAATACATTAGCAGTAGTACAGTTCTATATAGAACTTTCTCTGAACACTTCCATCCTTTAAAATCTGTATTAAAAATGTGAAATGGCCTAGAACTGAAACACAAGGAACATGAGTTAGAGTCAGCATGTCAGTTCAGACATGAGAGACAAAGGATCTAGATATCTCTGTGAAGAGCTTGAGAGGAAGCTCTACTCGGTGAGATGAGGTATGAAGAACAGAATAGAAGGTAATCTATTATATGGTGCCATTCAAACCAGTGATGATGATTGTTTGAGTATCACACTCTCTTCTGTCTCTTTCAGAAAAGATACGGAAGTTGATGATGAAAAATCTCCCTTGAGAATGGGGCCTTTTTTTGCATAGTTCCAACTTAATTGTGGAACTTGCCATCAAAGGTAGGGGTTTGGGAGAGGTCTTTGTTCTTTTGTTTTGCTTTGTTTTTTTAATTATAAAAGTGAATAATGTCATGCAGGCAAAATTTAGTTACTGAGTTATAAAAATCTGGGATATATTTCCATTATAGGCATTCCTACTGTTTTCTGCAGAATCTCACTGCTTATTGCTTACACATTATACTTGGTAAGTCACTTGGAAACAGGTATTTCCGTACTTACCTCTCTCTGTTTTGTTTGTTGAGCTGTTATTTCCCCTTCTGTGGAAGTGTTGTGAAGTCATGGAATCTCTGCTGCTCTGGTAAGATGGAAAACAGATGGATTCTTCAGCAGTCGGCAGTGTTTTTAACTACCTCGGTTTTTTTTTTTTTTTTTTTGGCCTCTGTGTTTCTGTCAGTCTGCATGATTTCCCCTTCATAAATCCGTGCTGACTAATCCCAATCACCTTCTTGCTCTTCATGTGTTTGGAACCAGTTTCCAGGATGATCTACTCCACTTTCCCAGGGATTAGGGTGAGGCTCACAGGGATGTAGTTGCCTGAATCCTCCTTCTTGCCCTTAAAAACAGGGTTGACAATTGCTTTCTTGAGTCCTCTGGAACCTCATCCACCAGCTTGAAACTTTCAAACATAATTGAGAGTGGCCTCACAATGACAGGGCCAGCTCTCTCAGCACTCATGGTGGCATCTCATCAGGTCTCATGGAAGTGCTATGTCCAGTTCATTTAAAGGTTTCTTAATCTGGTCCTCCCTCACTCAGAGTAAATCTTGCTCCAGACTTTCTGACTGGTCTCAGGGGCCTGGGATTCCAGAAAGGTCCTACACAGAAAGAGCAAGGTAGAGAAGGTGTTTTGACCTTTTTGTATCCTTACACTAGGTACTTTGCCTCATTCAGTAGCAGGCCTGCATTTCCCCTGCCCTTCCTTATGCTGCTTATGTACCTGTACAAGACTTTCCTTTTGACTTTTATATCCCTCACCAGTTTTGACTCCAGGTGGACTTTGGCTTTCCTAATGCTATCCCAGTACACCCAAGTGGTGTCTGTGCATCAAGTGTGTGGCCCCACTTCACCTCTGTTTTGTTGTTTAGAAGATCTCTATTGTCCACATCATCCTGCAACCTTCGCTTGCAAACCTTCACCACCACTTCCTCACTCAATCATCACCACCTCCCTCTCTCATCGTTCCTAGTCTAAGCCTCCCTTTAGCAGATTGACCAACATGTTGGCAAAGATGCTTTTACCCCACATAGTGTCAGGTGGATCCTGCTCGCGTTCTTCTGCAGTTTTTGATCCTCAGAGAAGGTCCTATGGATGTAAAAGGTGAGTCCCAGCTTTTGACACAAGCTGCACAACCACTGCTGGTCAGCAGGATCTGCCTACTCCTCTTCAAGTCCTTCCCCTTCACCAGCAGGATGAAGGAAACACCATCTTGTCCCCAGGCCCTGACCCTCATATTCCAAGCCATGTAGTCATGTCATGCTTGATACGTTCCCGGTCTCCCCTGGCCATATCCATGGTGCCCCTATGGAAGATGAGGTGCAGGTAAATGTCTGAGGGCCAGACTACTCTACCATCCTCAGTAACAGCCTACCCATGGTACCCAGGACCCAAGTCCCTGCAAGCAGCAGACCTTGCCAGGTGACAGGTTGGGCCGCAGAGGTGCTTCTGTCCCTGCGGCATCAGGAAGTTTCCCACCACTCTTCCTCGCCCCATCCTGCCTGCTCTGCCACAGGACTGGGGCACAGCTGGCTCCGAGGCTTCGCTGGGCAGAGCTCCCTGTCTTTGCCTGCTGCTGGGGCTCAGAACCTGCTCTGTAGATTGGAGCTGCAAGCAGAGCAGGAGCTCTCCTCCTGGTGCTGGAGCTCACAAGCTCCAGGCTTCGTCAGACTCAGCATCTCCATGTCCAGCCTGACAAGGCTCTGCTGGCTTCTGCTTGGTGCAGTGGGGGTTCCTATAGCTATAGAGTCTTGGAGGGGACCTGGTCCATCTCCTTTTCAGCATCTAATGTATTGTCTGCTCACTTCCTCGCACAGCTTCTCTGTTTCATGTCACAGATCCTCCATAAAAGCACATTTAGAAGGATATAAAATGTTGTTTAATTATAAATCCGCTGCTTGCTAAAACTTACAACATGGGCGCATTAAGAACTGGCAGATTCAGGAGTATACTACTACATCATTTATATGTCTAGAGACTGTACATATGGTGTAGTACATTAATACCATGTATACAACAGACTATAGTGTGTGCATGCTACATATAGTAAAACTAAAAAAAGATAGTAAATATAGACTTAAGTAGTTTTTTATTATTATCATGAACTTAAAAACAGCTTTAAGGGCACAGTACATGTATTCAGTATGCAACATGGGTGTATAGAATAAGTATTAGCAATTTTTATGGATTTGTAGGATAAAAAGCACTTAATACTCTGCTATACTTGAATGAGAACACTGTTGCACTAGAAAACAGCAAACAAAGCATTATGGTATGTAGTGCATAGGGGAGGTCTGGAAAAATGTCAGCTTATTTGGGTCTCATTTTGATAAGAGATCTAGAAAAAGAAGAAAACAAGACATTAATGAACTTGTGGATAATATTAAGCAGAGAAATTGTGAATGCAAGTGAGGATAGACAAACATGAAACAAGTAATCAAAACTCCTGGAAACAGATGTCTGACTGACAAACAAGATGAAATTTCAGTGCAACTAGTAGAAGCTGAAAGGAATGTCCATCTGAAATGGACAAGTTCCCTGAAGCCCAGAAATCAGGGAAACTAATGGATAGGAGAGTAGCTTGGGGTTTATGTGTGTATTGCAATGTCAAGATACATATATGAAGGCAGTCTGACAAAAAAAAACAACAACAGTAGTAATCCTTTCCTTGAAGATTCTGCTGAATAGACCTTTTGACTTGGTGCTGCATTTTTATGAAGATCAGTTTATGAAGCTCTGAAGTTCATATTGTAGGACTTAGTGGGGTTTCTTCAGCCTAAACCAAAAAGGAACCCAGTGTACTGAACTATCAAAATGGAAACCTTGATGTTTTAAGTGTGATTAATAGTGAAAAAACTTACTGTTATATGATATCTCTTAATGGTCTGCATGAAAGATGTTAGGGTAGTGTGGATTCCTCCTCTGTTGGTTTGCTATAAATGCATTAAGGAGGCTTATTAAGCAGGGAGAAATGACAGATTCCTAGGGAAATTTGTGACTATTTTATCATACAAGCTTTTACAAAATAATCCTGAAATAGAGTTGGGAGACTTCAGTAGGTAGGTGGGATGAATCCTTGTATAACGTAAATCATTCCCCATATTTCTTGTTTTCTTTGCAACCTTTTTATTTTGATGGGAGACTTCTTTAATGTTTATATCCTTTGCTGCTGCCAGATGGCTGTCAGTTGCTTGCTTTACCTATTACTTAATAGTTTTTCCAGGTATTTGTTTTATTTGCATCTTGATCATAAATATTACTTTTTAGTGAGATATAACTAATTAATGAAATCATATTTCTCTTCCTGGTACTTGAACAATGCATGTGAAATGTCTGTAAGTTTTCATTTAATTCCTTAAATTGATAGCTGACAGGTTTTGTTTTGTTTTGTTTTTTCCTATTTGAATGTATATGGGACCTGCAGATTGCATGATACTAGTTAATCTACTAATTTTTTTTTTATATATATTTTATTTATCTCTCTAGGATAATATTTTAATCTTGGATCGTGACAGATTGTTACCTGTTTGTGTTCAATGGGACGACGAATTCACTTTGTGGATGACCCTCAGGGTTGGTGCTGCATGGGCCTGATTATCTTTGTCTGGCTGTACAATACAATCTTCATTCCAAAAGTCATCCTCTTCCCTCATTATGAAGAGGGACATATTTCAGTTGTGGCAATTTTGTGTAAGTCAATTTAACTTAGCCCTTTTTTCTGCTAGTAAAAATAGTATCTTTGGGTAGTAGTTAATATACATGAGAAAGGTCAGAAAATAAAGAATTAGGTGAAGGATAAAGGATAAGAGTACTGGAACACATCCTATATTTCCGTGTTCTGAGAAGTTGAGATACTTCATTCATTTCAAAGGTGTTATGGTAAACCTTTTTTTGTGTGGAAACCTGTGAAAAGCATTAATAAGGCTTTCAGTTGCTGTAGCTAGAGCTGCTTGAGTTAGTTTCTGGCCCACAGCTCTTAGTGCTTGTCAGAATTGGGGGTGGTAGTACTGATGGTTGACAAACTGAGTTTTGTTTGTTTTGTCATACATCCCTGGATTTGTCAGCTAATATGAGTTATGCTAGGAGGTTTTGCTGAGGAAGAGGCTTGAATTATAACTGGAACCAACCTTAAAGTGAAGATGGACAATTGGGAGTATACTTTCACATGGAGGCTTTGAAGTCTAGAATGATTGGTGCTTATTTGATAAGAGAGTGGAGGAACTCTTAATTACAATAGTAAGGTCATAGTGTCATCCTGCTGGTGCTATCAAAACAGTGTTCACTTCTACCTTTTCCTCTCCCTTTTTAAGACTGTGGAGTACTTAATATTGTAGACTATATAATACCAAAACCACATCTGGAATTGAATGAGAAGGCTGAGTCATTTCCAGCTCAGTGCTGGAGCATCTATATTTTTGATGCAGTGTATAGTAAATATTTTGTGCATCTGAAAAAGACTAACAAATGCTTATTTATTTTTTCAGGTTATTACTTCTGCTCATTGTTTTGCATATCTTCATTACTAAGAGCCTCAGTAGCTGATCCAGGAAAACTACCTGAAAACCCAAAGATACCAATTACAGGTACATTAAGTTGTTTCTATATAATTGAATAAAAGTTATTTTAATGTCCTCAAAATAATTAGGAATCAATTTGATTTTGTGAGATTTGATGGAAACCATGAGCTGTCTCTGCTGAAGCCTATATTGTTAACTAAAAAATCAGTTTGTCAGTGTTTTTAACTTGTATATTTCTAACACTTTTCCTGTGTAGACTCAAAACTTCTTTTCCAAAACTTGTATTCCACCAGAAGTTTCGTTATGTAGGAACTTCTGCTTGTAAATTTTTTCATGGGAAAAATTATTTTTCATTCTAGGCTTTCAGACATACTGCATATACTTCTAACTTGATTATATTTAATAAAAAATGTTTAGAATTGTTAGTTATTATAATTCTTAGCTGTTTTTCTAAGTAAATTTATAAGATATTGAAAGTGTTGGTAGAAGGTACTCTTAAGCTGGATTTTACCTGTGCATTTTTTACACTTTTTTTTTTTCAGTGACTTACATTGGTATGGGTTGTTAACTAAACAAATGTGATGCCAATTACATTGCATTGCTATAGAGCAGCAAGTTAACATGTGAGAATTCCCTTCTGTCCTTGTGAATTTATCCCACAATTCCTGTATGGTATCAAATGCTTCAGAAATTGGAGAAAAATTGAAACCTTAAGAATTCTCCACAGAGAAAGCCAACATTTTAATGAACTGTTTCATGCTATTAAGCTGCTTGTCTAATGCATAGAGCTTTTACATAGCAGTTTAGAATGGGGTAGGGCTATTAAACAGCATGAGCTTTGTCACATTAACAAAATACTTTTTTGAATGTAGAGAATGTATTTAATGCAGCAAGGGGTGAATATTTCAGTCTTCTCTTGCAATTTGGTGGATGCCAGGAGTAACATTTTGCTCTGTCTTCCTGATGTTAGTGAGAATCTGGGATGATGTCTTCGGAAATATGATCTGTTTAGCCTGAGCACTGATGTTACAATGTGAACAAATTAGGCAGCAGATAGTAGGAAGGGATGTGTATCCCTGGGATCCAGATGTGAAATACTGATCACAGAAAATCTCATGTCAGTGTTCTTTCTGCTCCTGGTATCTGATCCTTTGATGCAGTAAAATGAAAGGTGTCTCAGACTTTGGTTCTGCAATCAGTTCTTGCTGCCAGAACAACATGGATTCTGCAACCTGAGCTGGAGAATGAACACACTCAGTTCAGTTACAGACAATTACATTTATGACTGAATGTTCATTTACCTGCAAAATACCAGTACCAGTACCATTTCCCTTTGGACACAAATACTTCTTTCTCTTTTAAGGGATCCCTTTGAATAGCTCTCTAACTTCTTCATTCTCCATTCATTTCATACCACAGTGATACTGTATAGATACTTCTGAAGATGCAACACTTAGGCTTGACTGTGACACCAATATTATTATTTGATGTGTGCTGTATGAGGGTTTTTTACTTCCTAAAGTAGCACTTCAGTTCTCTGGTATCTTCTAGGTTGAGAGGAAGATACATTTTTGCATGATATATATTGTATTCAAAAATGAGGTTGGGGTTTTTCTGAACTCTGCTAGTAGCTACCCTATTAGGGAGTTACACCTTTGTGACACTGGATTTATGGGAACAGATTGTAAATCAGTCTCCATCTGGCATTATTACAAATTTAATGATCTCAGATATTGGACCTCATTATTTGAAGTGTCCAAATGCTATTTTGCAGCGAGAAAGACAACAGCTGCCTAAAGGTGACTCGGAAGTGCTAAATTTAATGTTATTTTGTTTACATAGGGACAGTGCTTTACCATATAAAATTTCAGAATGCCCTACTGTGAAAGCTAAGATTTCCCTCCGCCCCGGGATTTAAGAAATTTATCTGCATCAAAAAAAGTTCTATTTAGGTAGAAACAACCAGTCAATGTATTTAAGATTCTCAGTCATGCACCTGTTTTCCTTAAAGATGGAAAATACATGTTTTTGTGAATGGAACTGTTACAGTGTTGCTGAGATTTGTTTACTATGTGAAAATGAACTTTCTGAATATATCATTTGAATTCTCATTTTCAAAGGCTTCCTCTAACTTGGGTGGTGCAATTTGAGATAAATAATAGCTAAACTGAGCAATAGTAATTCCTGGTAGTTTCAGCTACTCGGTATCTCTGGAGATCAGCTTAAAGAATCTCACAGTGGGCATCCAAAGATAGTGTGTATTTTTAAATACAAGCTTGTCCTCTACCTGTTCTTTGCTTGCCTTCTGTGTACAATTGCATGCTTTAAGATGCATGTTGTAAAATGCTTTGAGATGGAAGATGATCCTTGTGTGTTTTAGTTAGCTTGCTTTGACAAATTTGAGTAGCAGTATTTTCTCAGGAGGTTTTGGAATGGCAGGGGAGTTGTATGATGGCTCTGTCTAGCAGATATGTTTTTTCACAGTAGCTGTATAAGAAAATAATTGATTTATTGTCTTCCTTGTTTGAGTGACAGCTTTTGTGCTGTAATAGTTACTCCTTAGAAATATATAGGAGAAGAAAAAGATTTGGAGAAGATGACTGGCACAGAGTAGCAGTAGCAGCTTCCAAATTAATTAAAGTAACTGTGGGGACAAAAGTTTTTTCATATACTGCTGACCCTTCTCAGATCATAGTAAGAATTTTTTCTCTTTAAGTCACTAGTGTGATCACTAGATTTATCATGAGCATGCTGTACTGAGTTTAAATCTCACTAAGGTGTCTTTACATTTTCACCTAGAACGAGAATATTGGGAATTATGTAACAAATGCAATATGATGAGACCAAAGCGTTCACACCATTGCAGTCGTTGTGGACACTGTGTGAGGAGGATGGATCACCACTGTCCGTGGTAAGACCAGGACATTTGTTCTAACAGTCTACTGTTGTTTTAGTGAATCATTTCAAAGTTCATGGTCTTGACTATTGCTCATTTGTCATATTTCTTTCCCAGTTGTGCTTAATCATTTAGGCATTTAGAGCAGGGAAAGAACAGCTTTGAGACTTTCTTATGTCTACAAGTAAGAACTGATGCAGTGTAACATTTTACCATTGTCAAATTGTTATAAACCATATAGTTTTGGAAAATTCACATATTTTGTTTAAAGAATTGGAATCTTTACTCCTAAAACTGATCTCAACATAATTAACTAGTACATTGCAGATCTATTTAATTAGTTGCAATTTAGTTTCTGATCCTGGATATTTTTTGTAGGAAATTAAGCAATATTTCTTGGATTGAAATAAAAGATTAGAATTTTGACATAAGAATGGATGCTCTTTATAATAGCAAAACTAGATCATAGTTTCAGACAATTTTTGGATTTTAGTTTACTGAATGGCAGTGCTGAGTAGAAAATGTTACTGACTTATACCATGCCCCACTTGTCATCACCTCTCTGATTTTGTAGTGAAATTGCTTATTTTAGTGTCCTCTAACTAGTTTAGTCAAAATGAACTAATTTGGCTAAAATTCTCTTATTTAAACTGATTGACTGTAGCTTAAAATTAAAATAAACGTTTCTGTCAGTAGTTCTGAGGTATCATTTCCAGCAAGATTTCAGTGATGAACTGCCGAGGATAGAATTGACATCAGAGTTCTCCTGTGTTGATATAGCCGTTTTTCAAACTTCCCTTTTTGTCAATCACTACTTCAGAAAGCAGAGCCAGTATAGTGTTTTTGTCATTATGGCTTAGCTTGGTACTTATGTCTGTGCCAATGCTTGTATGAAATTGCACCCTGACCACATTTTTTGCATCAGTGTAACTTCTGTGAAGCAGACTAGACCTAGATTTCAAAGGTTTTGAATCTTGTACTTAATATTTCTAGAATCCTTGTGATTCCTTTACTCCTTTTTGTTGGAGTATGCAGAAGGAGTTTCTGAACAGAGATGCCTGGTTTTGTTTCTGTTTCGTTGGCTCTTTCATAAGTCATGTTTATTTGTCATTGATGTACCCTGTGATCACATTTATTTCAAACCCTTCCTTTGCATTTCCAGTTTTTGGACTCTATGTAGTTCACAATGAGTGGAATGTATTGAGTAGCAGAAGATAATACACACTACTGTGAAATTTTGTAGACTTAAAAAAAAAAATGTTACTTGGGTATTACTTAAAATTGTAGGAATATCTTTGCTATATGAAGATATAGAGAATTAAGTCTCTCTGTTCCAAGCAGTGATCTCAGTAATGCAACCTATACTTTAAGTGGAAGTGTAAGGAAACCATTCTTTACAGTAACTGCCATTTCAAACATAGAGGCCATCATTTTGACTAAAAATGGAGTGATTAGTCAGTAGTTCTTATGTTTGCTCTATAAATAATTCTAACTTCTCCTATTCACATTATCATAACTGCAGTGTTAAAGGCTTTATATTTCTGTCTTTATATATGCACTGTTTTTCTGCAGGATTAATAATTGTGTTGGTGAAGACAATCATTGGCTGTTTTTACAGCTGTGTTTCTACACTCAGATCCTTAGTTCCTATACGCTGATACTTGATTTCTGCCATTACTACTACTTTTTGCCTCTGAAAAAACAAAACTGGGTAAGAATCTGTTTTCTCTGTGAATTAATAAATAGCTAGTACTGCAATGTAATTTATTTTACTGTATAGTTACTACACATTTCTGCTGGCTCAATTGTTGACAGTGAAGAGAGTTCAACTAGATGTATCTTATCAAGTGAGCAAACTGATTTATGGTAAGTAACAAAATATTGTTCTAAAACGATGTATGATTTCTGTATGTGAAAAACACAACATTATTTTTCTTAGAAGTCTGGGAAAGGAGGACAGAACCAATTAGATTCCTTTAGAATCAATTAGTAAATTCTGGGAAGAAGCAAGGTATCTATTTCAGGTGCATTCAAATTTCTTTTTACTTAATCAAAATAAATTTATGCAGAGTATAGATCTATCCTAAGTCCCTATTTAAAAATGCTGATATTGCCAGAAAAATGAAAAAAAAAAAACATATGAACATTCTGAAGTGAGAAAAATGTACATTGGTTTTGAAGCAATATTTTGTGTTCTTTTGAAAAGGTCATGTGGGTTAAGGGAGAATTAAGTTCAGTTTGTTTTACTTGCAATCTATGCCATTATCATATTTCAACATCTTGTCATCAGCAAAATGCAGTTGCACACACAGAGAAAATGGACTTAGAGATTGGAATAAAGAAAAAAATTACAGAATTTTATCCATTATGGAACTGAAGTTATAGAGTCTCTGTGTCTGGTGCTCATTTCTGTCTATTATCTGTAATGTTCAGAATATTCAAGGTGTTTGCCTGAAAGTTGCTGAATGCTTGAAGGTACTAGAACAGCAAAGTTGGTGTTCTTTCGTTTGAAGAAAATGTAATGAGAACTTGCTCATAAAGAAACATAAAAACTTCTACCCAAAATCTGAAATGGAATTTGTATTTGTAATGGACTATAACAAATACAAGTGTGCTAAAGGGAAAAACCTAGAAAACAAGTTTAAAACATATTCAAAATTAGATAATGTTCCAGATGTCCTAAGTGAATAGACTAAGACCATGCCAGGAATTGCAGTGTGCTTTAATTTTTTTGAGGCTTTTTCCAAGTACTGAAGTGCTGCAGACTTTTCCATGTTGATGTGACACCCCAGAATACTCTCTGCTGCTAACGTCACACCCATCTTTCAAAGCTGTTGGAGCATTGGTTATGGGTAAAGCAAGTCCCATCTTCTATTTTGTTGAACAGCATAAGTTTGTTATACTATTTTGTATCCTAAACAGTATAAAGTAAGAATATTAAACTTCCTGAAAAATTCTACTTCTGGAAAAGAATAGGACAGAGCATTCCAGACTTCTTATTTGCTCCCATATCAGTCTGCCGTGGATGTGATATTCCCAGGAAAGCGTATGTGAAGATTATTTGTCAAAGGGGAACTGAAAATGTAGGAAGACTACTCCTTGGATGATCCAGAACTGATAAAAGTGTTATATTCAAGTTGGTAGTTACCAACTTTTTATTATATGGAGTGTACCAAAGTAGAGGATTTTTGCAAATCTCTCTTAAAATAACTTTCATTCTAAAGGAATTTATTTTTTACTTTTTTTTCATCTATATGATTATTTCCATTTGTTGTGATTTAGCCCTGGCGGACAGCTAAGCATCATGCAGCTGCTTGCTCACACCCCCCACAGCTGGTGGGATGGGGAAGAGAATCAGGAAAAAAAAAAAGAAAACTCATTGGTTGAGATAAGAACAGTTTAATGACTAAAATAAAATAATAGTAATAATAATTGTAATGAAAATATAGCAAAAAGAGAGAAGTAGACCCCAAGAAAAGACAAGTGATGCATAGTGAAGAAAATGTTATGAGAACTTGCTCATAAAGAAACATAAAAACTTCTACTCAAAATCTGAAATGGATTTTGTATTTGTACTGACTAAAACAAATAGGCACTACCCGCTGACCGATGTCGGAGCAGCGATCTGCACCTCCCTGGCCAACTGCCCCCAGCCCACGCACTGAGCGTGACGCTCTGTGGCATGGAATATCCCTTGGGCTAGTTCGGGTCACCTGTCCTGGCCACGCTCCCCCCCAGCTTCTTGTGCACCCCACTGCTGGCAGAGCACGGGAAACTGAAACATCCTTAGCTTAAGGAAAGCGCTATGTAGCAACACCTGAAACATCAGTGTGTTATCAATGTTATTCTCACACTGAATCCAAAACACAGCACAGTACCAGCTCCTAGGAAGAAAATTAACAACCCCAGCTGAAATCATTACTCTCAAAATGTGGAAAAGAGAAGAATTTGTTGTCTGCTTGGAGCATCCTTCCATAGTCACTGCCCTGTAAACTGAGACAGAGCTGTAAAATGTGTCTCTTAAGGTTGAGTACTCACAGGACAGTCACTGTGTTTCCAGTTTGTTGCAGATGGGCTTTTCATATTCACCTTGTTTTACAGGCATTGTGAGATTTGAGGGATCTATTTTGATTTGTTGTAGCTGCATTCAAGTTAAAAGGGAAATTGCAGTATTTCTGTATTAGTGAAGGAATCTGTTGCCTAAGTAGAATTTCTTATAGATATGTTACATTTTGGGATTTTGGAATATTAATGTTTTTGAAAGGTAAGTAAGTGTAAATGGCTTTGCTTTTAGTTTCAGTAGCTTTGTAAACTTTTTTTTAATTTGTAAACTAAGTTAACCTACTACATTTCTGGACAGAGTAATCTTATACTTCCTGTATTCTGAAGGCTTCCCTTGCACAGGGTTTGCAGGTTTCAAGCACAAAGGCTTCTCAGTGATACTGATCTGAGTACTGGATTGGGTACTACAGTGCTTCTAGAAGGAGTGTTATTTTCCAAAGATAAAATATTTGTATGAAATTGGCAGTGCTTCTCTACTAATTTAATGGTACAATATTTCCTTTTTATTATGAGTCCCCTGAATGCTTTAATTTACTTGAAGTAATTACACTGTGTTTAGGTAACAAACCCAAGTTCTGTTTGTTAGCCTTGCTTTTTAAAAGGAGAATGAAAGGGACCAAATTATTTGCTTGGAAATGGTCTGTGCAGGAGAGAAGAGGGAAATCTGACTACTTCAGACAGTTTACAACCTCTAAAGAGGTAATAATAAAAAATGAACTGTTATATATATAAAACTTTGTTCTTGATGGTTTAACTGGGTTAATTTCAAGTCTTCTGGAGAGAGATTGATTTTTAATATCTACCCTTTAGAAGATGTGACAGGTTAGGTGGCAGAATGCATACACAGTAATTAATTTAACCCAGTTTAATGTGGTTGCCTGAAGAGAGGATAAGGTTCCCATGTCTGGCTGCCTAAATTTACAAAGTCATGGAAAAAATAGTGTAGTTTGTTCTACTTTGTTTTGTTTTAGCTGTGTTTTTTTGGCTTTATCAATTTGCATATGTAGATACTTCAAATAACACTCTTCGTTTTGAAAAACTGGATCTGTGCTACAGTAAATAACATTCTGTGCCACAGATAGATTAGTACACTTATACTTTATGGAAAAACTTAGTAGGCACATCAGGTCTGGTCTGTTCAGACTTTTGTTATGTCTAGTATTTCACTGAATAGTATTTAGCTTTCTCAGTTTTTCAGCTGCAGTATTGGGGGGCACACACAGAAGCACAGAAAATTAAGAATAATTTGATTGGGTGTCTAATTAGTGTATCTGCCTGGAAGATAGCATCAGAGCCCCAGTAAGCTCATTTTTTAAAGTGTTGTCAAGGATACGATGCCATATAACTTTGTGCCACAGAATAATTTGCCAGAATTACATAGTTTTGACATAAAACGAGCGGGACCAATGAGAAGATTTGCTTACTGTTAGTTAGATTTCTAGGCAAACATCCTGCAAGATTCTTTCAGTCTTTGTATATCAATTAAAGCTGAAGTACCACAGCATTCCAGAGACTGCAGTACCTTCTACCTTTCATGGAAGCACTACTCTTTGTTGAAATTTTAGCTGTAACCGAGAGCTTACATTTTCTGAATTGACAGGGGCTAATGTTCAGCACAAATTCAAAGAACTGGGTAATTTTTTCTAAACAGCCATCTGGAATTAGCTTATTCCTGCTCATTAAAAGTACTTGTGAATTTTTTGGCAGTGTGCCATCATTTTAATTTTTATTCTTTGAGTATAAAATAGTACATAACACTGAAGCTGTAGAATTAAAATTACTTTTAATGCTGTTGTGAAAGAATCATTTTATCACGGTACTGATTAATGAATTAAGAAAATATGATCACTATATGCATGTTAGTATTTCCTTCTGAATGAAAACTTGTGGTTTTATTTTTAAAGAGTTAGATAAGAAAAACCCAAACATTTTAAACGAAGTATGCTAAGGTAAGGAGGATGGCTTTAAAGCTAATGGAAGAAGCCCTTTCAATAAAGATACAATTTTTCTACTTCAGGTCTTACAGCAGAAAATTACTTCATAGTAGTCTTGGCTCCTGTAATTGTTACACTGTGAGAAAGATGGATTGTGGTTATTGCATCTGTTTGTCCAGCAGGAGGAGTACAATTACTGCTAGAAATGAATGAAAGGGTAATTAAATTGTCTATGTGAGGTCCTAGCAGAAGAAAAATATATAATTCAAAGAAAACAGTGTATGAGTTTCTCTGCTAGCTTTGGTTATTTTCAGAGACTAAGACTGGAATGTTCTTAATTTTGCATCTTCATTAAAAAACATCAAGGTCAGGAACTCCATATCTTTGAGGAAGTATTCAATCTCGTGGATAGCGAGATGAATAAATACTAGTCTTCTCATGACTACATAGTTGCTCTCTACATGGCTGTGCATTACGGATACTAAACACAACTGGTCAAGTAGAAGCAAAAATAAATGCTTTGGCAGTATACTTTACCTGATTCATAGCAGGCTTTTCATCTTTTCAGAAAAAAAAGTTTTGCTAGAAATGTTGCTAGAATGATTGTCACAGAGAAAAACACTGACATACAAAAGCCTAAACCCCTTGGCTCTAGTTTAATTTTGTTCCTGGTTCTGCAATTATCCATTAGTATATGGATATGAAATGACCTTATAGAATGGGAATTGGTTTTCTTTCTTTTATTTTTTAATTTTTTTTAACATGAGAGAATTTTCTCCCTTGTACCTCTCCTTCCTTTCTTTTTTTTCCTGCAAAACCTGCAGTCTGTATTTTTTTTTTTTTTTTTTAGTCCGACAGCCTGGCTTTATTCTGTATTCTACACTGTTTTTATGATAGCCAAGTTGATAGACTGACTTCATCACCAGACTGGGACAGACATCCGGGGCATTTGCAACTGAGAGTAGACAAGCAGGTTAGCATGTGTTACATGAGGTATCCCTTCCCCAAGAGAAAGATGAAGTATCTTGATATATTTTGTTAGTATAGTATTTTCTGTGTTATATATGTAATATAATATTTCAGTAAAGAATCAAGATTGAATAAATGAATCTTACATTGTAAATTAAAATTTATGAAGGTTGTTTTTCACTGTGTCTCTTCTGGAACAGAGACAATAGTACTGTGTTGGTCCTGCTGAAAGCTCTGTCCTCTGTCCAGAGTGTACTGTTTTTAAAGGAATACTGTAAATCCTTGAAAATAATAACCCAATAGTGCAAATGGCAGGGAACTGTTAAATGTTCTCATACTTTTTTTCTGTTGTTAGCAGGGTAAAAAGAAAGTTGAATTTGGAAGCAGTGGCCATATAATTGATTATGAGCTTGATCTGGACCCATGATTGTTTCTGACTTCTTTATGATAGCATAAAGCTATAATAGCTGTTTTCCTAGTCAATGGTATCATTCATCGCAGGGATCATCCATAACAGTTGATGTTCACAAATGAAAATGTGTCATGTGTTCACACCATGGGGTGTGAATCTGTCACAGAGACTGGCTTTCTGTGGAATGTTTTGGTATTGCCTGTTAAGATAAAGATGCCAGGTCTCATGGTCTGCAATCCATTCCTCAACATAATCCTACAGACCTACACTTTGTTTCTTATTTTGTAAGGAGTTTCTATTGTACACATTTCTATCCATTTTTATAAGTAGCCAAGAATCCTTGCAGTTGGACTGGATGGATAGAAGTAGTGGCTAAAGGGAACTTAAAAACCTCTAGAGCAGTCAACAGCCTGGGGGAGAGGGCACGTCTGAGCTGTGTATGAAATGCTAAGTAGAAAGGCAACGGCAGCAACCTACGTGAACTGAAGTTTTGACAGAGCAGGTAGGCTGTGATGCTGACAAAAAAGAGAGGAGAAAGGGGCTACCTGAAGGGCAAGGCCACCTATGTCAGCCTGGCCCAGTGTGGAAGAAAACTGTTATGGGACAAAACCCTACTGTGTCATGAGAGAGAATTCATGCATTGTTGATGTTAGCTTACGTGTGCTTATGCTTTGTTGCTCAGTCTGTGTAGTTCTTTCTCTTAGCATGGATAGTGTGATTTTGGAAGTTGTGGGGGCATGCTGTCCCATTACTCACACTGCACTGAGACTGGTGAGTCCTAAATGGTGTTTGAATAAGAGGATCTGTTCAAAATACATTGAAAGAGGAATTGACTGATTGTTGACTAGTCTTGGGGGTTTGCATGATTATAGTTTTGATTGATTTTCTTAGCTGGGAAGAATGTTCTTGTCAGTTCTGAGAAGGAATAATAAAAAATTGGCTTGAGCTTTTATGTAAAGCAGCAATACCCTAAATGTATTATTATTATTTATTATTACTATTATTATTGTTATTGTTACTCAGATTTAAGTGGATTTTTTCTAAATGGTCTTTTTTTTAATGTGTTTTCATTAGTTTTCATTCTATTTCAGTGCAGAATTGTGAAGTAGCTCTGTTATTAAGGTCTGATTACCAGAAGACTATTCCTGCATATGCTTTGGTTTTCTATAGAAAAATGCTGATCTGTCTGTACATATTGTTAGGTAAGAACCCAGTATAATTTCCAGGTCATCATTGCCTCAGAGACTTTGATTCTCCTAGGGCTGTGTAATGGCTGGAAAAAATATCGGTGATGCCATCTCTTCTCACTAGTGATTCAGCAACCCTCTGCCTTTAGCAATAGATGCTTTCATATTTTAGGAAGGAAGGAAAGACAGGGTAGTATTCCTTGGTCTTCACTTCAATATAACGGTCTTTCATTTTGTGTACTTCTTAACATGAATTAGAAGGGCCAAATGCAAAATGCAACCAGCCTTTCTTATGCTAGGGTTTTCTGTTTCATGTGTTGGGTGATAGCATCTTCAGCAGGAAAAAGAGACAAGAGAAGGAATTCTTCTAATTAGAGTATTAGGGGGATGCTAAGAGCTGTGTTATAAAGTTTTTTCTAATGGCGGAGTGTGATGCTGGATCCAGAATGTGACTTCACTGTTGGTACTCTTCTCTTACATTTCACTGTCTTCTGTTGAGTTTGAATATATTAAAATATTTGTGATATAATAAACCAACATACAAGTACTTTACCGCTAGTAGAACTTGAATCTTACCTTTCTTTCCTTTAAAGCTTTGGTGGTCTGATAGAAAGGGGAATAAAGATTAGTAGAAATATTTTATTTTGAGTTGATTTAACTTTGAATATGTTAACTGAGTAAGAAGAGTTTTAAAAAAAATGGCAATGAAGCATGTATTTTCTGCCACAGCAAGAAAGGCCAACACTAACAGGAGCTGGCTTACTAGTTCAGAAAAGACTGGTGGGATTTGCTTTTTGTTTTAGCTAGTTAACTAGGGGTTTCTACTTGTTCATTAAATACTGACTTTCTTCACAGCTTTAATAGCCAGTGTAAACTTTTCTCCTGGGTTTATATTGTGAACCTTCATGGATATAATTTAAATCTAAAATCAGACTTTTTTACTAAATATAATTTGCTTTAATCATTCTCTGTTTAATTAGAACCCAGTATTCCTGAATCTAAGAATTCCTCTTCTTTAAGTCCTCCTTGTTGAACGTAAAGAAGTTAAAAAGCAGTGGTTTGGTTTTTTTTTTTTTTTGTTTGTTTGTTGTTTTTGGTTTTTTGTTTTTGTTTTTTTTTTTTTTCTTCATTCAGTTCACTTTTATGTTCTGGTTGTAATTTAAAGCTTACTTGAAAGATTTTAATAGTTTCCTGCTGTGATTTTGCTTTTCTAACTGGAAAAACAGATGTGTACATTCAAAAGACAGCCTTGAGAACATAATCATGACTTATAAATAAGAGAATGGGTGTGCTAACTTATTATCAAAGGGTAAGATGGGGTGTGAAGTTGCAGTACCTCTACAGTAACTGCCATGTACAAATGTTTTCCTGTGATAAAAGTAAGGTGTTTTATCCTTTGAAAAAGATCTATAAAACCACCTTACACTTTTCATATTTTCTGCTGGGTGAGAGCAGGCTTTCCAGAGCAGCTGATACAGTAAATCCATATTATTCTGTACCCTATATTCCAAATATCCATACCCAAAGTTACAATAATTCACTTAAGGCCAAAATTTAAAATATTAAGATAAGTTTATGTTGGATAATAGACAGCATTACAGTGAAACCAATCCAATACACAGATACTTGGATTTTGTAGTTACCATCTTCAAGAGTCAATCTAGGAATGATGTTATTTTTATTACAAAAGAGGTTGTGTTAAAATGAAAATTTCTGTGGCTGGGAGCAGAGTTACAGAAGTCCTATAGAGCAGACTTTAACAGAATGATTTTCTTATATTTTGGAGCTTCTGTGTAGCAACCTGGCACAGTTTCAGATGGAAGATTCAGGAATAACCCGTTTGAGCTTGATCTGTTCCCAAACCTTAAATATCTGCATGAGGTTTTTTAACAGTCTGGCAAAAACCCCCTAACTGTTTATAAATAAAAGATGATTCATTTATAATTTTAGCACATATGTATATCAATGATTTGCAGCATAGCTCAAAAATCCAATATTTGCTTTTATCTGTAAGTCTTCAGGAAGACCTCTTATATAGTATTTCCACTTGGTTCAAAGACTTAAATTCATTTGTAAGTGCTAAAGTCTCTCTCCTTTCTGTTCTAGGATGTTTTTGTATTTAGACATGAACTTGCTCTCCTAAGAATATCTGCCTTCACGGGTCTAATAATATTAGGTGGAATAAGTGGACTCTTTTACACTCAGCTAATGGGTATTTTCACTGTAAGTATATAATTTTAGAAGTATATATTAATTTTAATTTCAATAAAATTAATAAAAGCAGGAAAGCAGATTGCATTTAAGCAAAGAATAGAGAAACACTTGCACTATGAGGCATCTATTTGGTATGTGCTCTGTCAAGACTCTTGTGTCCAAGGAAGTCTTACAAAGCCTTCTAACAAACAAATGTCTAATAATTCACCTATCAAGGCAATTTTGTGATTTGTATTAGTAAAATAAAACTATATGTTGTTCTGGAATTGTGCAGTGTACAAGGTGCATATTTGTGGGGTTTGATTTTTGTTTTTATTTTAAATACTTATGTGCCCTGGTCTCAATTATACTTTGTGACAGTGAGGCCCACTGATAAATCATATATTCTGAGAACACAGACTTTGTTTAGTATTTTAATAAATATGCTTATGTTCATATCTCTTCAGTTACTAAACTGTGGAATGGAATCATGTACAATTTACAGTCCGAATGCATATTCTGTATTTAAAGGTACAGAAAAATATCCTCTGCATGGAAGAAATTTTCCAGTTAAATTAATTTGGTAATATAATAAATATCTACAAGAAACAAGCTTTTGTTCCTGTAACATCCTGTTCTGTACATTTGAAGTTAATCACTGCCAGTGAATTCTTGAAAGTTATCTTTAGAATCCATAGAAGTGTTTGAAGTACTGCTGTGTTGAACAAGGATAGTATATTAGTTGGATCTGTACTTGTCTGAAAGGGTGTATGATCTGGCTTGCAAAAGATTTTTTTAAAAGAAAATAACATACAAGATTATAGCATCTTTGGAACTACAACTGTTTGAGATCTGCCTGAGGTTTCATTTTGATATTAGGAGGGTTTACACAGTATTAATCTTTGTAGATGCATAATGGAAAGCCTCATAACTGTACTATGTAATTCCTGTGTATGGAATAAAAGACAAAACTTGCTGTATAGTTTTTCCTTCTGTTAGATAAACCAATAATATTGTTTATTGTTTTTTACTGTATTACTTTTACATAAGTTTACTGCCTTCTGCAATTTGTGTGACTGGAGCTATGCTGTGTATTATTTTTGCCATCCTCCAGCTATTCTACCAGACTGCTTTCTGCACTTTCTGTCAACCCCGAGATCTACAGATTACCTTTGTGCCCCTTTACTGTGTGCTTGATTTCTCTTCCAGGATCTCGCTGACAGGTTCGCACCTCCCTGCTTAAATGCTGACACACAACCTTTGTGTCTGTGTCCTCTAGAGTTGGGATTTTTTTTCTAATCTGATACTCTGCCTTGCTGGGTATCTAGTTGAATTCTGCTCACCCTCACTCCCAGTAGTGGGAGAGACAGAAAGTCAGGGAGCCTTAGAGTTCAGATGCTGAAATATGGATGTCTTTTTAGTCTTTGTTAAATGGATATATGAGAAGGAACAAAAAGCCCTGTGATCGGTACTGCACTAAAACTCAGAGATGATAGAGAAGAAAAGAAGGAACAAAACCAAATTCTGTTCTGTGTGCTGCCAGAAGCTGGACTAAATTTTGACAGTGGCCATCCATTCAGATACTAATAGTATACATGAAATAAAAACTCTTGGACTGAACCTGTTTCTGTCAGATACACTTAAAACTTGGGCTGTTTCTGTTGTGATGCAGTATACCAACTGTGCTCCCTCTGCAACAGGCATGAATTCCCAGTGTGTTCTTTCACTGTTCTAAGCCTTAACACTGTCAGGCTGCTACCACCACTGCAAACTCATACAGAATGCTTTAAAGCCTTTTATTCTATGTCAGTTGTATAATATACTGTGAAGTACCTCCTGCTGCACTTACTGAGCTGGCCACTACCCTGGAACAGATGTGGGCTAATAGCATTTTCAAGTCCAACCTCCTTTTATGTACTCAAATCATAATTCTGTGGATTGCTGAGCTGCAGTATGCCCAGACATTCTCTTCTGTCCTCTGTGCCAAACTGTGAAATAAAGACACCGCAGTAGTTGCGGCTATAGATGTGTGAGAGGCAGGTGCTGGAACGTACAGATATTCTGTATTAGGGCCTCTCACTGCACCCTACCTATAGAGGAGGAACTAATTGTGCTTGCCCCATATGGACAAGTTTCTAGGTTTGGGATTGTTGGGTTGGGATTGCTGGGGATGTGGAAATCCATTACTGGGATCTCCATTCTCTAATTAATTCACAACACGTGGACGCTGTTGCATTGACTTATTGAAGAACATAGATCGTTGAGTCCATACCCTGCTCAAATCATTTCCATACCAGCAGCACAATCATTTTCTTACGTTTCATTCCTTTCTTTGTGAGTATAGAATTGGCAAGAATAAACACAGTCATTTTGAAGAAATCTGCTTGGGAACAACTGGTCAGACTTCAAACGAACAAAGCCAGATCTGTTTGGTGAGGTTGTGCTTAGTCTGCAAGCTGTGTTGGAAAATCTTCCTGTGCAAGTGTATTTTGATTGTCAGCATTGTAGTGTGGGGATTTACTTCCTCCATAAGGACTTAGTAACAGCTTTGGCTAGCCAACGGGAAAGGCAGAGGAGGGAGCAGCAGGTGAGTGAGTAGTTTCTCTGTAGGCTCCCTGAAGACATGCTATGATACATAGAATAGGGAAACAAAGAAACTGGGTATACCCACCCACAGTGCTGAGTGCACAGCGTGGAAGACATTCAAGTGCTGTGGAAGCAATGAACCGTGATAACTAAGAGACAGCAATGCTCCTACTGTGTGCTGTGCTGGAGTTACTGTTCAGCATCTAACCTTCCTGTATAAACTAAGCAAATTGTATCTGAAATGAGCTCTATTTAAAATAATGAATTAATGATGAAATTAAGCTTAAATTAATAGAAGGTACAGATCAAAATTTATTTAACAGTAGAACACAGTCCTTGAAGTGTAATAGTGCAGGCTTGGGGTTAATTTAAAAGAAACTGAAACACTTGAAGGGAGATACATGCACAGTTAAAGCATTCATGCTATATTAATTGCTCCATAGCTATTATTGAGACCACTAATTTTCAGTGATTGCTGAAGCTGCCCAGAGGTGTGTGCAAGAGAGATGGACAAGAACATGGACCTTTTGAAAACAGTGAAGCACAGCAGCTCTTAAGTTGTGCTTGTACAGGAAATCAGATAATAAACATTTCCTAGTTTATGCTCCATGCCTGTTTGCAGTTTAACATCAAGCCAAGATTAGTTCCACAGCTCCTGGATAAAAGTTATTTTTAAATAATAGAGACAATCAGCATTGCAGCGGTGTTCTAAACTTTGACTGATACATACTGTTGCTAAAAGAATCCACGAAGTTCAGCTTTGTTGGGATTTAACATTATCACTTACCTATATTTCAAATGCTGACAAAACAGTATTTTTGAAAAGAAAAATAAACTCAAGATTTATCAAACTTTGACCCTTTTGTAACAAAACTTCCCAATTCTCCATTAGGTAGACTTGCTTGACTGTCATATAATTTTTCAGAAACCAAGCCAATAGTTTCTGTTTCATCTAAGCAAGATGAGGCTAAGGCTAACTTTTTCCAGGAATATTGGATGTGCATATAAAAAAAAATTCCCCAGTTTTCAGTCTTTCAGTATCTTCTGCACACATAGAATGTGCTCTGCTTACTGTCAGCCTCGCAGAAGCAACGTGGGATAATGAAACCGCAGTGGTGTTTGTCCTCATTTAGCATCGTCAGTAATAAGGAGCTAGGACCTGAAGTGGCAACTTCGTGCTTCATTGTTTATGGTTGATTTCTACAGTCTGATGGCTCTGCTCAGATGTAAATAATTGGAGTGTAGCATGCATTATGAAGCAGGATACATACCCCAGGTCAGAGTACTCGTGCCGATTCTTCGTATTTACATGTTTATTCTTATGCCACTGCAGCAAGATAGATAAAGTTGAATGTATAGAATTAATTTGCATTAAGTGATCTTTGTATACAGCATATTTATAAGCAGAGTTGCTCTTTACTAGAATTAAGTGATATCTTGACAAGCCATAAGAACAAGTAGACGTTTTCAATAGGATTTTAGGGGGAAATACTGGCATTTTCTCCTCTTTGATAAATTTTTTCAGAAAAAAATTGTTGTCCAACTGAACATGTGACGGAAAGGATATATCTGGTATACTCCAGCATGTTTTTCTGAAACAGGGCAGTAGCTAGAACAGGAAAGCAAAGCAGCACATTATGTAGTGCAGATGAAATATTTTGCTGTGTGTGCTGGCACCTTCCAAAATTCAATGTTGTTGTGTAGTTGACTGAGCTTCTTTGCCTATCTGTGCATAACTCTCATTGGTTATAACAGTAGATCCATTATGTAAAAGTTCTCTAAGAAAAAAATTCATGTAATCTGCTTTTATCCCCTTTCATGTGTGTTCAACAGATACTAAGATGCTTGGAAAAAAATGTGCTTTCTGGTAAAAATGAAAACTTTGTAATTTGTGTACTCAAATTTGTCTCCTACACAGAGAATGTTCTTAAGGCTGTACTGCTCAAGAGGGTGATTAATAGACCAAGTTACCTGACATGCAGTAACTTCTCCGAGTACATTTACCACCTCTTACTGTGGGATCACTGTTAGCGTATCATTAGCACAAGGCTATTTGTATCTCATCTGGAGGTCCAGGATACAAAGGAGCAAAGAGGTGACTTTCTACAATGAGAGGAGAACTGCTGGTTGGCAAAAACTGCCCTTAGATGAACTTTTGACATGGATTGTTCCAGTGAGGACGGGAGCAGCTGAGGTGGCCTCTGTATAGGAGATTAGTGCTTTCTCCCTCAAAACTAGTGTATGTGAAACACACTTCTAGCAGAAGGGGCACATGGCTCTTTTCGTCCTCCTCCAGTTGCTTTCCCCAAGCTCTGTTTGCCTTTGCTCTCATTATCATCCTGAATTTTAACACTTCTTCCAGCATGTACCTGGGATCACTCTTGGGGAACTTTTATTTGGATACTTTGGAAATAGAAGTATCTAAGTTCTTTCTAACTCTAATT